CTATCTATCTATCTATCTATCTATCTATCTATCTATCTATCTATATATATATATATATATATATATATATATATTTATCTATTTCTATTTCTATCTATCTGTCTATCTCTTCATCTATCTATCTATCTATCTATCTATCTATCTATCTATATATATATATATATATATATATATATTTTTATCTATTTCTATTTCTATCTATCTGTCTATCTCTTCATCTATCTATCTATCTATCTATCTATCTATCTATCTATTTATCTATCTATATCTATTTATCTATCTATCATCATTGATATAACATTGATCTATTTATCGAAAATCTCTGTCTGTCTGTCTGTCTCTATCCTATCTACATCTACCTCTCTCTCTCATCATCATCATTGTTCTAACATTGATCTATCTTCAATTGTCTGTCTGTCTCTATCACCTCTCTACCTATCATCTATCATCTTCTTTTAACAACCCATAATCCCTTGCAGGGTGGAGTCTGGGCAACTGAATGGAACTGGGTGTTTTAGTGGCCGGATGCCTTTCCTCTCACCAATGGGAAGTTATATTTTAGCAGATCTATTCTCAGGGTGCCCAGAGAGAGAAATATGGGCCTCTACCTAGGATTGAACTCACAGCCTCCTGATTGTGAGGCGAGAGCCCCACCTCTAGGCCATCTCCCTCTCTCTTTCTCTTTCCCTCCCTCTCTCCCCCTCTTTCTTTCTCTCCATCTCTCCATCTCTCCCTCTCCATCCATGTCTTTAAACAAATGTAAACTCTTTCAGAAGAGGAGGTTTCCAGAAGACCACAAAGGAGGGCAGGAGCGTGCACACACACACACACACACACACACAGAGCACACCATGCACACCCACAAACACACCCACACGCACACTCACCTTGCTGAGATCCTTGGCGGTGACCCCATCATCATCCCGGCACGGGAGTTTATGTACGAAGGCTAACATCTGGTATTTGGCACGGATGAATTCAGACTTGGTGGGGCTGGGTGGGGGGCAAAAGAACACATCAGTTAGGGGTCTTTCTTCCCCCAGGGATGGCCCTGTCCTTAACTGGAGGGTGGGTGGTGGTGGCTTTGAGGGGCAAAACTGCGGTGGAGGCAGGGCAAGAAGCAAGAATAAAAGCCCCCCCCCCCAGCTCAGGCCACAAGCAGGTCTATCCAAAATGGGGGGGGGGAGAGAGACCATTATTCCCTGCCCCCTTTAATGTGGGGGTCTTTAATTGGCAGAACCCTCTTTAGATCCCCCTGTGGATAGCTTTAGCTCAGGGGTCTCCAACCTTGGCAAGTTTAAGACTTGTGGACTTCAACTCCCAGAATCCCTCAGCCAGCTTTGATTTAAGACTGGGGGACTTCAACTCCCAGAATCCCTCAGCCGGCTTTNAGGGGGCATGGCCAGCCTGCTGTTTCTACCGGTACCGCAAGGAAGTCTCAATTCTTACTACTGGTTCAGCCGAACGGATGCAAACTGCTGGCAACCCACTTCTGGTCTGGGGGAAATTGGGGTGGGGTGGGGGGGCTGCGGCAAAACTGGTTCAGGGGGCATGGCCAGCCTGTTGTTTCTACCGGTACCGCAAGGAAGTCCCAATTCTTACTACTGGTTCAGCCGAACGGATGCAAACTGCTGGCAACCCACTTCTGGTCCGGGGGGAATTGGGGTGGGGGGGCAGCAGAACCCCCCCCTCCCCGGGGCAGGCCAAGGGTTAAATTCCCGGCTGGGATTTCAGCACTGCGGGGGTGGGGGGTCATTTCTACATCCACAGAAGGCCCCCCTCCCCTCCCGTCCCCTCCAGGCCAGGATGGGATGATGTCATCCGCCTCTTCAATGGGAGGCCCAGCCAGGCTCTCCCCCCCCACACGCCCCCCCTCCCTGCCCCACAAGAACTGGGTCTCTTTGTTCCCCAAACAGAACACAAAATGCTTCAGTGTTTCAGACCAACAAGGCTGTGCACACAGTTGAACACAAAGGCACAACGGCCACAGCTGGAATAAAGCCTGGGGGTGCCGGCGTAAAATGGGGCAGAGGGTTCCCCCCCACGCTGCAAAAATGCGATTTACAGGGAGAACTCGGCTTACAACCGTTTTCTTTCGAAGGGACAACGGGGCTGGAAAAAGGGCCAGTGTTCAGAGTTATGACCGTTGCACCATTCCCATGGTCAAACAATTCGGCAACTGACTGTACTTATGACGGTCGCAGTGTCCTGTGACCCCCTTTGGCGACCTTCTGACCAGCGGAGACGAGGGGGAAGCCGGATTCACTTCACGGCTGTGCCCCCAACGTAAACGAGGCCAGTGATTCACTTAATGGTGGCAAAGAAGGTCGTAAAACGGGGCGAAACCCGCCGAACAACCGCCTCGCTCCACAACGGAAATTTTGGGGCCCCATTTTTGTGGTCGTCCATCGAGGACTGACTGAAAAAAAGAAAAAAACCATTAGGACAGCAGGACTGTGGAGAGGGAGGGGCTGGACTAGATGGTCTTTGGGGACACCTTCAATGCCACAATTCCAAGACCACAGAAGCCAGGAATTCACGGGTGATCCCCACTCACACACACCACCCCTCATGCCAGCTATGCACAATTAGTTAACGGAACGAGACTTGGTTGTTTCACATGATCCCAAAATGAGCCTCCATGTTCGAAAGCAGTCTACCTTAGCGTGTTCCTCGAGAGCTTCCGGTTTGCGCTACCAGTAGGGGAAACCCGGACGATGCCCCACCTGACCCAGAAAAGGAGGTTCAAGGCAGCCCTCCGTTGGAGACGATTCGTTTAATGGAAAAAAATGACTTATGGATCGTTCCTCGCACTTACGACTGTCCTAACATCCCTACGGTCACATGATCATCAGTTAGGCAAAGTATTTATGAAGATTGCAGGGGCCCCTCCTAAAAGGCATGGGAACTTTTAAGAGGGGTGGACTTCAACTCCCAGGATTCCCCACCCAACATCTAGGGAATTCTGGGAGTGGAAGCCCACCCCTCTTAAAGCATGATGGCTGGGGGATTCTGGGGGTTGTAGTCCTCCCATCTTAAAGGATGAGGCTGGGGGAATCTGGGAGTTGTAGTCCTCCTATCTTAAAGGATGAGGCTAGGGGATTCTGGGAGTGGAAGTCCATCTCTCTTCAAGCATGCTGGCTGGGGGATTCTGGGAGTGGAAGTCCAT